ATATTTTTTTTCTGCTTTTTTAGATGCAGATGAAAGAAACTCAGAAATTCATCAGAAACTAAAACCGGGTGCGTGTGTGTGTGTGTTCAATGGGATGCCTTTTCAGATTTATGAAAAATCTTTAAAATATATTGACATGAGTGTCAAGATACATGCCCAACAGGAGACTAACATCTCTGAGACCACAGAAATAAGACAAAACAAAAATATCCTTCAAATCCACTTATTTTACTATTTTATTTATTTTATTTCCTGTGCACTGAGTATATTAGTAAGTCTTCTACATATATTTGCAAAAGAATGGTAAAATTCAGTACAGTCTGAAATTACAGCTTTAAAAGTATCTATAAGTAAAGTAAATGAAAAAATAAAATTTGCACTTCCAGGAGAACAAGTTTTGGGACTACTGAACCAAAAGTATCAAGAGAGAAAAATAAGATCGCCTGAACAATTCCAGCCCCGTTCAGTTGTGACTCTCACCCATGATGCTTCCTTAAGACTATGCTGAAGGAGGCCAGGAACAGTGGCTCACGACTGTAATCCCAGCACTTTGGGAGGCTGAGGCAGGCGGACCACCTGAGGTTGGGAGTTCGAGACTAGCCTGACCAACATGGAGAAACCCCGTCTCTACTAAAAATACAAAATTAGCCAGGCGTGATGGCGCATGCCTGTAATCCTAGCTACTCATGAGGTTGAGGCAGGAGAACTGCTTGAGTCTGGGAGGCAGAGGTTGTGGTGAGCCGAGATCACACCATTGCACTCCAGTCTGGGCAACAAGAGCAAAACTCTGTCTCAAAAAAAAAAAAAAAAAAAAAAAGACTATGCTGAAGGAAAAATCAATCTATTATATAATATTGGACATACAGGTAAAGTATCATAAATATACTTCTTAATTAACCAATGCCATATATTCAGAAGGCCCTACTTTAGGTTACCATTAATAAAGGGGAAATTTAGGTGATAAAAGATTAATGGAATAGCTTCTGGTATTATTCACATATACAAAAGAAAAAAGAAAAAAAAAAAAAAAAAAAGAATGCTGAGGGCTGGGCAAGGTGGCTCACACCCATTATCCCAGCACTTTGGAAGGCCAAGGCGGGCGGATCACCTGAGGTCAGGAGTTCAAGACCAGCCTGGCCAACATGGTGAAACCTTGTTTCTACTGAAAAAACAAAAATTAGCCTGGGTGGTGGTGGGTGCCTGTAATCCCAGCTACTAGGGAGGCTGAGGCAGAAGAATTGCTTGAACCCAGGAGGCAGAGGTTGCAGTGAGCCAAGATCATGCCATTGCCCTCCAGCCTGGGTAACAAGAGCAAGGCTCCATCTCAAAAAAAAAAAAGGAAAGAAAAAGAAAGAATAGAAAAATAAAAAGAATGCTGTAGATTTTTCAAATAGTTATGCTAACCTAATACTTAATATTTTTAATCTAGCATTTTCCAAATTTGTTTAACTATGAAGTGGAACTAATGTCCACTTAATAATAGTTAAATAATTTGAGGCTTAAATTATTTTATGAATTGTAATTAAAGTTAGAAACAGCTGCATTATTCTTAAAATAACTTTAAAAAGAGTGATGGCATGTGTTAGGTAATATCCTGCCATGTTATTTCACTTTGGGATTTACTTCACCCTCAGAAAAAAGAAACATGAAACTATAATATAATCTATACTTTCATTGCTCAATAAAGAAAAACTCAGAATACCCAGAAACCTTTTAAATATTTTTACATATAGTTTATTTAAATAGATCATAATATGTTATTATCAGATACTAGAATTCAAACAATATTTTGTACAGGTTATTAAAATAGCATATTATTTTCTTAGTATTATTTTAAATGGTCAATTAAAATGTCCCCACTGAATAATATAGCTAGGTCAAAACTAAATCTCAAGTTTTTCGTAATATTCCATTAGGCTTAACTATCACAAACTGAATTTGGAATTAAGGGTTAGATATGAACAAATTTTAAGGTAACATTTATGCATATGGAATACATTTATTAATAAATGTTCTGTCCTTCTGTGTCAGAGTTCTTATATCTCCAGCAAAGTGTTTTTGTATAATCCGCAACCTCCCACAAAAATTGTAAAAGGCTGGGTGACAGATGAGGAAGAAATAAATAAAGCACCATCTAATACAACCAAACTTTATTAAAAGAAAGCTTAAAGATACTGCATGGAATCCCTAAGTTCCATGTACCACGATTTGAAAATTATGTTCTTGAATGGCGCTAAACTAGCCATACGGTTTCTTTCTGATTTACTCTTGTTTATATTATAAAAGAAAATGAACACTGCTCACATGGCAGTCTCTGAAAGTTTCCCAAAATATGTGTGGTAGAAGAAGATGTATTTCAGTGACCTTAACCAGTAAGTATGAAAAATTATAACCACTAACTTATTTAAGAACTTATCAGTAAAAATGAAAAATCTTCTGGACTAGGGTCACATAGGTGCTTGTATTGTTTACTAAATACTAATTGGCAAAACCACACTGTTACATAATTCTAATCTTCCTCTGAGGTCAATGGTTTTTATAAGAATTATCCTTCTTAATATCTACTACGATATTTTATCAAATAAAACTAGATGGAGCCTAATTTTATAACTATGCCATTAAAATTACTAACACGACCTATATTTAGTACTCATTTTAAACTCATTATTATATGTATCACAACTCTCCATCACCCTCCTCATTAGAATTATGGAAGGTTCTATTTTTCTTTTTAATATTATAATAGTGATGGAATTATTTATAGCTTCTTATTAATATTATTTGAATTTGAAAAGGTAACTTTCACATGTGCTTCCCAGGATGACATTGTAAAATAAATTGTATACAAAGTTACTTCAAAACCAAAACTTGAGATTGATAGTTCATTTTAAAGTATGCTAACATGAAAATATACATAATTATCATAAAAAAGAACCCAAACCCTCCTACAAACAAATTTTACTTTTTAAATAGATAAAATATATAAGAACTTTTCTTTTTTTTTAAGACGGAGTCTCGCTCTGTCGCCCAGGCTGGAGTGCAGTGGTCGGATCTCAGCTCACTGCAAGCTCCGCCTCCCGAGTTTAGGCCATTCTCCTGCCTCAGCCATTCGAATAGCTGAGACTACAGGCGCCCGCCACCTCGCCCGGCTAGTTTTTTGTATTTTTTTAGTAGAGATGGGGTTTCACCGGGTTAGCCAGGATGGTCTCGATCTCCTGACCTCGTGATCCGCCCATCTCGGCCTCCCAAAGTGCTGGGATTACAGGCTTGAGCCACCGTGCCCGGCCATAAGAACTTTTTAAAGAGATACAATTCTTTAAGTTATGCTTTCTTCTTCCACATTAATTTTATCTTTAAACTAATATGGAATAATAATCTATAATTATTTAAATTAAAATTTCAGTAAATAACATTTTCTGTACTCGTATTTTGTTTAAAGCTTCAAAAAGAATTCAGACCCTAATCAGATATTTCAGTTTGTTTCATATAATACAAACTATGACTTTCTTATCTTTGTGCAGAGGGCAGGGATTTTTGTGTTTTATAGACTTATGTATTCCCTCACCTAGAACAGTGCCCGACACCTAAGAGATGTACTAGACACTTAATGAATATTTGTTGAATAAATGAGTATTCTACAGAAAAACACTTAGGATGACAACTTAAAAGACAATAACAATTTGCCTATTACTTTCCAGAAGTACTGGCCAAGATGATGTGCATTGTATGTTAAGGTCTTAGAACTAACAATTACCTACACAATAATCATTTTTATAGTTGAAATAACAGCTGAACAATTATCATTTCCTGATACCAAGAAGTGGATACTATGAACTTTTAAAAAGAAAGTTTAGGTATCAACACACTCTAAAACACTTCTTAGGATATAAAAGTCTCAATAAAATTCAGGTCATGAATATTTATGGAAAATGAGGACCCAACAATGTTTTCCCAGGTTTAGGAGAACAATTCAGAAGGAACAACACAAAAAGTTTGCCTGACCAGCAGCACCAGGGTATTATACAAGCTTCCAAATTGCCTGTGGCATCTTTTTGCTGGTTTCCTGGAATTAGTTTTAGAGTTTAAAGGAACCAATTTGGAAAGGGCCTGTGGAAAACAAAAGCAGCAGGTTTTCTTTGCCCCTAAAGTTTTCTCATACAGTGGTAGGAAATAGAAAATCTGTTTTTTTCCATATGTAATTTTACTAGTAAAACATGAGACTCCATAATGCTTCATTTACTTTGCTAAAATAAGAAAAATCCTACAATGTTAAAAGAACTCATTTTTTGAGATAAATAAGAGCATTTATGCAGTTAATAATGAGTATTTATCCAGTTAATACTTTCAGGGGCTAAGAGATATATTAAGCTGGTGGCCTCTATATTTCGAGGAGATATTATTATTATTAAATAATAACACACATCTCGTGTGTGTTAACTAGAAAGTTCACTGCAATAAAGACATCATATTAAGATAGAATATCTTGGCCGGGCGCGGTGGCTCAAGCCTGTAATCCCAGCACTTTGGGAGGCCGAGACGGGCGGATCACGAGGTCAGGAGATCGAGACCATCCTGGCTAACACGGTGAAACCCCGTCTCTACTAAAAAGTACAAAAAACTAGCCGGGCGAGGTGGCGGGCGCCTGTAGTCCCAGCTACTCCGGAGGCTGAGGCAGGAGAATGGCGTAAACCCGGGAGGCGGAGCTTGCCGTGAGCAGAGATCCGGCCACTGCACTCCAGCCTGGGTGACAGAGCCAGACTCTGTCTCAAAAAAAAAAAAAAAAAAAAAAGATAGAATATCTCAAGATAGCCAAAACAAAAACAAACAAACAAACAAAC